CACACTGGTGATGGTGACACACTGGTGATGGTGACATATACTGGTGATGGTGACACACACTGGTGATGGTGACACACACTGGTGATGGTGACACACACTGGTGATGGTGACACACTGGTGATGGTGACACACTGGTGATGGTGACACACACTGGTGATGGTGAAGTCAGTGCTGCCAACCACCGACACCTAACGAGCACTAACGAGGGAAGCTGACCTTGAAGTGCCTGGTCTTGTCAGTGACGGTGTGGCCATCAGACGGGTCGAGGGCGGCACTACAAGGTGGACCTCGAGGGCAGCGGCACTGTCGCTCCACCCTCGGGGAGTCGTAGATGTCGACCTTGTTGCAGACGGTCCAGGGCGAGCACTCCGGCAGGTCCTCCTCAGACTCCTGCTGGAGGACGACACTGGCTTAGTGGAGCTACCTTTATGGCCTCTCTCTCTCTCTCTCTCTCTCTCTCTCTCTCTCTCTCTCTCTCTCTCTCTCTCTCTCTCTCTCTCTCTCTCTCTCTCTCTCTCTCTCTCTCTCTCTCTCTCTCTCTCTCTCTCCCTCTCTGTCTCTCTGTCTCTCTGTCTCTCTGTCTCTCTCTCTGTCTCTCTGTCCCTGTCTCTGTCTCTGTCTCTGTCTCTCTCTCTCTCTCTCTCTCTCTCTCTCTCTCTCTCTCTCTCTCTCTCTCTCTCTCTCTCTCTCTCTCTCTCTCTCTCTCTCTCTCCCCCCCCCAGCCCTGCGGCACCCACAACAGTGAACCACAACCATGTAGCACCCACAACAGTGGACCACAGCCCTGCAGCACCCACAACAGTGAACCACAGCCCTGCAGCACCCACAACAGTGAACCACTGCCCTGCAGCACCCACAGTAGTGGACCACAACCATGTAGCACCCACAACAGTGGACGACAGCCCTGCAGCACCCACAACAGTGAACCACAGCCCTGCAGCACCCACAACAGTGAACCACTGCCCTGCAGCACCCACAGTAATGGACCACAACCATGTAGCACCCACAACAGTGGACCACAGCCCTGCAGCACCCACAACAGTGAACCACAGCCCTGCAGCACCCACAGTAATGGACCACAACCATGTAGCACCCACAACAGTGGACCACAGCCCTGCAGCACCCACAACAGTGAACCACAGCCCTGCAGCACCCACAGTAATGGACCACAACCATGTAGCACCCACAACAGTGGACCACAGCCCTGCAGCACCCACAACAGTGAACCACAGCCCTGCAGCACCCACAGTAGTGGACCACAACCATGTAGCACCCACAACAGTGGACGACAGCCCTGCAGCACCCACAACAGTGAACCTCAGCCCTGCAGCACCCACAACAGTGAACCACTGCCCTGCAGCACCCACAGTAGTGGACCACAACCATGTAGCACCCACAACAGTGAACCACTGCCCTGCAGCACCCACAGTAGTGGACCACAACCATGTAGCACCCACAACAGTGGACCACAGCCCTGCAGCACCCAAAACAGTGAACCACAGCCCTGCAGCACCCACAGTAGTGGACCACAACCATGTAGCACCCACAACAGTGGACCACAGCTCTGCAGCACCCACAACAGTGGACCACAACCCTGCAGCACCCACAGTAGTGGACCACAACCCTGCAGCACCCACAACAGTGGACCACAGCCCTGCAGCACCCACAACAGTGAACCACAGCCCTGCAGCACCCACAGTAGTGGACCACAACCATGTAGCACCCACAACAGTGGACCACAACCCTGCAGCACCCACAACAGTGGACCACAGCTCTGCAGCACCCACAGTAGTGGACCACAGCCCTGCGGCACACACAGTAGTGGACCACAACCCTGCAGCACCCACAACAGTGGACCACAACCCTGCAGCACCCACAGTAGTGGACCACAGCCCTGCGGCACACACAGTAGTGGACCACAGCTCTGCAGCACCCACAACAGTGGACCACAACCCTGCAGCACCCACAACAGTGGACCACAACCCTGCAGCACCCACAACAGTGGACCACAACCCTGCAGCACCCACAACAGTGGACCACAACCCTGCAGCACCCACAACAGTGGACCACAACCCTGCAGCACCCACAGTAGTGGACCACAACCCTGCAGCACCCACAACAGTGGACCACAGCCCTGCAGCACCCACAACAGTGGACCACAACCCTGCAGCACCCACAACAGTGGACCACAACCCTGCAGCACCCACAGTAGTGGACCACAACCCTGCAGCACCCACAACAGTGGACCACAACCCTGCAGCACCCACAACAGTGGACCACAGCCCTGCAGCACCCACAACAGTGGACCACAACCCTGCAGCACCCACAACAGTGGACCACAACCCTGCAGCACCCACAACAGTGGACCACAGCCCTGCAGCACCCACAACAGTGGACCACAACCCTGCAGCACCCACAACAGTGGACCACAGCCCTGCAGCACCCACAACAGTGGACCACAACCCTGCAGCACCCACAGCAGTGGACCACAACCCTGCAGCACCCACAACAGTGGACCACAACCCTGCAGCACCCACAACAGTGGACCACAGCCCTGCAGCACCCACAACAGTGGACCACAACCCTGCAGCACCCACAACAGTGGACCACAGCCCTGCAGCACCCACAACAGTGGACCACAACCCTGCAGCACCCACAACAGTGGACCACAACCCAGCAGCACCCACAACAGTGGACCACAACCCTGCAGCACCCACATCAGTGGACCACATCCCTGCAGCACCCACAACAGTGGACCACAACCCTGCAGCACCCACAACAGTGGACCACAACCCTGCAGCACCCACAACAGTGGACCACAGCCCTGCAGCACCCACAACAGTGGACCACAACCCTGCAGCACCCACAACAGTGGACCACAGCCCTGCAGCACCCACAACAGTGGACCACAGCCCTGCGGCACCCACAACAGTGGACCACAGCCCTGCGGCACCCACAACAGTGGACCACAACCCTGCGGCACCCACAACAGTGGACCACAGCCCTGCGGCACCCACAACAGTGGACCACAGCCCTGCAGCACCCACAACAGTGGGCCACAGCCCTGCGGCACCCACAACAGTGGACCACAACCCTGCAGCACCCACAACAGTGGACCACAGCCCTGCGGCACCCACAGCAGTGGACCACAGCCCTGCAGCACCCACAACAGTGGACCACAACCCTGCAGCACCCACAACAGTGGACCACAGCCCTGCGGCACCCACAACAGTGGACCACAACCCTGCAGCACCCACAACAGTGGACCACAGCCCTGCAGCACCCACAGCAGTGGACCACAGCCCTGCAGCACCCACAACAGTGGACCACAACCCTGCAGCACCCACAACAGTGGACCACAGCCCTGCGGCACCCACAACAGTGGACCACAGCCCTGCAGCACCCACAACAGTGGACCACAGCCCTGCGGCACCCACAGCAGTGGACCACAGCCCTGCAGCACCCACAGCAGTGGACCACAGCCCTGCAGCACCCACAACAGTGGACCACAACCCTGCAGCACCCACAGCAGTGGACCACAGCCCTGCAGCACCCACAACAGTGGACCACAGCCCTGCAGCACCCACAGCAGTGGACCACAGCCCTGCAGCACCCACAACAGTGGACCACATCCCTGCAGCACCCACAGCAGTGGACCACAGCCCTGCAGCACCCACAACAGTGGACCACAGCCCTGCAGCACCCACAACAGTGGACCACAACCCTGCAGCACCCACAACAGTGGACCACAGCCCTGCGGCACCCACAGCAGTGGACCACAGCCCTGCAGCACCCACAACAGTGGACCACAGCCCTGCAGCACCCACAACAGTGGACCACAGCCCTGCAGCACCCACAACAGTGGACCACAGCCCTGCAGCACCCACAACAGTGGACCACAGCCCTGCAGCACCCACAACAGTGGACCACAACTCTGCGGCACCCACAACAGTGGACCACAGCCCTGCAGCACCCACAACAGTGGACCACAGCCCTGCAGCACCCACAACAGTGAACCACAACTCTGCGGCACCCACAACAGTGGACCACAGCCCTGCAGCACCCACAACAGTGGACCACAGCCCTGCAGCACCCACAACAGTGGACCACAGCCCTGCAGCACCCACAGCAGTGGACCACAGCCCTGCAGCACCCACAACAGTGGACCACAGCCCTGCAGCACCCACAGCAGTGGACCACAGCCCTGCAGCACCCACAACAGTGGACCACAGCCCTGCAGCACCCACAACAGTGGACCACAGCCCTGCAGCACCCACAACAGTGGACCACAGCCCTGCAGCACCCACAGCAGTGGACCACAGCCCTGCAGCACCCACAACAGTGGACCACAGCCCTGCAGCACCCACAGCAGTGGACCACAACCCTGCAGCACCCACAACAGTGGACCACAGCCCTGCAGCACCCACAGCAGTGGACCACAACCCTGCAGCACCCACAACAGTGGACCACAGCCCTGCAGCACCCACAACAGTGGACCACAGCCCTGCAGCACCCACAACAGTGGACCACAGCCCTGCAGCACCCACAGCAGTGGACCACAGCCCTGCAGCACCCACAACAGTGGACCACAGCCTGCAGCACCCACAGCAGTGGCCTGCAGCACCCACAACAGTGGACCACAGCCCTGCAGCACCCACAGCAGTGGACCACAACCCTGCAGCACCCACAACAGTGGACCACAGCCCTGCAGCACCCACAACAGTGGACCACAGCCCTGCAGCACCCACAACAGTGGACCACAGCCCTGCAGCACCCACAGCAGTGGACCACAGCCCTGCAGCACCCACAACAGTGGACCACAGCCCTGCAGCACCCACAGCAGTGGACCACAGCCCTGGAGCACCCACAACAGTGGACCACAGCCCTGCAGCACCCACAGCAGTGGACCACAACCCTGCAGCACCCACAGCAGTGGACCACAGCCCTGCAGCACCCACAACAGTGGACCACAGCCCTGCAGCACCCACAACAGTGGACCACAACCCTGCAGCACCCACAACAGTGGACCACAGCCCTGCAGCACCCACAACAGTGGACCACAACCCTGCAGCACCCACAACAGTGGACCACAGCCCTGCAGCAGGTCTTGACAGCAACTCACCCCAGACACAATGGCCACAAGGCCGTGTTTTTAATAATAATAACAATAAAATTAATGTGAAGGTGAATTGAAGAATTTGGGGTCAATATCCGGGTTGGGGACAGGAAGACGGGTGAGGGGGGGGGGGGGGTGGTGGGGGGTGGGATGGGGTAGGGTGGGTGGGAGGGGTGGGAAGGAACGTGAGAGGTGGGGGTTTAATGGGTTAGTTCGGGTGAGGGGAGGGGGTGCTGTGGTCACACACACAGAATATTATATATATATATATATA